GTATAAGTATTTTATCGAATAAAAATTAGTGAAAATTCGCAAAATTAAAATTTCTCTAAATAGCTCAAAAGTAGCTAAAATGTTTTGAAAATTCAAGTACGTATAGAAAAAGAAAATATAAGGTTTTATCTAAATTTTAAATATTTTAAATTAAATTACAAAAAAAAAAAAAAAAAAATTGAAATAATAAAAATATTATTTTTGTAAAGTTTCCTACTCTTAAATTCTTCAACCACCTTCTTAACTTCCTACCTACAACAGTGGCATACCTATCAGCAATATTAACCCTTTTTAAATTAATATTGTATTATAATTTAGTGATTAAAGTTTCAATGCAAGTTTTCTTAAACTATATCATTCAATGATTCACCTTGAACAATAATCGTAATCCAGATAATGCTACTGGATATAATATATCATATCATTTGACTACAAGAAATTATTTAAAAACGTCTTTATACAACTTAGAGAAAAAGTTTGACGAAAATGTAGGCTATAATGATTAGTGCTTTTTGTGGTCACTTCGTCACGCTGTACACGTGTTTAGTGTTATTGGCGTTTTCATTTTGTGAATTTTCGTTCAGGAAAAAAAATAATCGTAGTTTTAACTCCCCTCCCACCGCCTTTTTTTTTTCTCCTCTGCGAGTATAATTTTGTTATGAACCCTTCGATTAAATAATCTGAACTAAATTCAGTAGTATTAAAAAAAAAAAATTACAACAGTCCCGAAAGGTTAGGTTAGGTTAGCTACTTATCGCATATTATATAGTTTCAATAGACATTATAAATCACATTTTTTTTTTTTGAAATATAAGTTCACACCCTTTATGAACACACAAATCGAATATACGTACTGTTTGTATCAGTAGGGTCTTTTTGTATCAGGATCACGACCCACATTTATGACATAAAATATTTATTTCAATGGCCGTTCTCAAAATTCAATTATTTTTACCGATTATAACGATGAGATAAACTGATTTTTATGTTTCATAGACTTTAAATTCACGTTATAGTGTGCGGCTCTATATTGAAATATTATGTTAAATTTTAATTTCACTTGTGTTAGTGCAGTACTATATTATTAAATGGCCATTGACGAAATGGTGAATTTACCGTCAAGTTATGTAGACTGAAGTTTAGGGTGACGATTTTGAGAAGGACTACATGTTTGTTATAAATAATTATAAATACTGTAGAGCGTAAAAAAGAATGCGTTCGTTTTTCTGTGGTGTGTATGCTTTTTATTTTTTTTCTAAATTATTTTTTTATCAGAAATGTTGCTCTGATTATTCATGTTGGATGTAGTTAAAACGAAAAAATGTTGGTGGAAAATTTATTTATATTTTATGCACTGAGAATATTCTTTTTTATTTTCCTAGTACTTTTCTTAATAATAATGAAAAACCAGGGAAAACGCCTAAAAAGTTAAATATTTACGCAATAATGCTCGGTTTTTGATGTTTCATTTTATTTGTAATTCAGTAAAAAATAATCGTGGGGACTTAAAAAAATGTCCACAAAATACTTATTAATCAATTATAGGTAAGTATAGCCTGTACTTACCTACACCTATACTGTATAGATATAGGTTATAGGTAATTATAGCCTATAATATTAGAAGCTTATAAGTAGGTGTATTGTACAATTTTCAAAATATTTTGACATTTTTGTGTTATTTTTGGTTATTTAAAATTTCCCAGTGGTTTGTATGGATACAAATTTTTCAATTTATTTATTAGTTGTAATAATTAACACAATTTGTACATACAATTTATCATCAAATGCGTTAAACGGTTAATTCCGTTCAGAACCGCTTATCGTTTGTAGTACCATTGTAAGTAAACATAATTTCTCTATACAATGTAATATAATTATATTCTATATCACTTTCAAAAATTCTCATCTACACCAGTGGCCCTATGGATCATTGTGTTAAGTACCCGCGGCTCTGTTGCCGGTAGGAAAAATTAAATTAAAAATAGTATATTTTTTTAAGGGGCTACTGCAAATGTGTTTTGGCCTCAGTACTTCTGGGGTAAAAACGGAAAAAAAAATATTCAATAGGCAGTAAAATGTTAAATACGCCACTGGCAGGACAACGACGCTGTGCCACATTGACTGTCGTGGACGGTGACAACAGGTGTGCGCGCCACTGCTGACGTCGACGACGATCGCGACGTCGACGACGACGGACGACGACGAAGTGTGCGTGTGTGCGCCAGCGCCCTCGGATTTGCGCGTCCGCATGCGAGTGTGTGGGTACGTGTCCGAAGAGGACACACACAGTGTGCTTGCCGGGTGGCCGCCGAACACAGTATCTCACAGACGCCGGACGGCCGGAAGTGGACACCCGTCGCATACCGTTCGTCATTGCTCGCGGACCGGAGTATCCGTTTTTTTCTCTATCGTAAACCATCAAATTCGCGTGCGTGTATACTTGTATTTAGATTTGTTTTGTATTTTATTCGGCGTGAAAATATACGTGTATTTTTGTTTTTGGTTTTTAGAAAAAAATTTTTTTTCAAATTTTCAAATTTTTTCGGTTTTCGAATTTACCGTGGCCACAGCGTCCGAGACGACGACAACGACGATCGGCGACCATAACGCATATCACGGCATCATCCGGTCGGGTGGTAGATTTTCGATCCGAAAGGTAAGTGTACCGGTTCGGTTGTATTACACGGGTGTTACAGTCATTATGACGAAATATTATCGGTCCAGAAAAAAAAAAAAACGAAAATTGCATTAGTTACGAACTGTAAGCCGACGAAGCACAGATCGATAAGCTACAACTTTGTTTCGAATGAAATTTATATTCCGCTACTGAACGGATGTCGGACGGGAATTTAATAATAATTGGCGAGTGGGAGTGGAAAGTTAATAATTTATTACTATATATTGTCGCGGTGTTTTTTTTTTCTACTCAATACAAACGAACTTTAGCCTCTATCGCCAGTTTATACTGTCAATATCATTACATTAAGTTCACGAATATTATGTTTTATTATTTGATACCATTGTAATTAAACATATTTCTCGAAAACATAATGACCGCGGGCGTATGGTAAAAATAGTAATTATGCAATAAAACATTTTTTATTAATATCCAAGTGTAACCATCCGTCTCCGAAAGCAAGGATATTAAAATTGTAATGTCGAGCATTTATATTGTGTACTTGTTTCGTAAATATAATAAAGGTACCTAAATATATATATAACAAATATCAAGATATTGTATCGATCGTCGTATAATTTCGGACGTACACAGTTTATAAATAAAATTTAAAAACAAAAATAAGAATTATCTAATGATTAAATTTACTTTTTTGTTAATTCACTCGTGTTATGACCAAGAACACGTCTAGGTAACTGTTTGAATTAATTGTGAAACAATAATTTATTATTTTGTGATAACACACTATTGTATTATTTATAGCAAGCTATTATTTTCCATAGTATTTGACCATACATTTTATCGATAAATCTATTCAATTTTGAAGTTGCAAGAAAATACGTTAGTGCATCGTAAACAACTGTGATTTAACTAAATAATATTGTTAGCTACTCCATGAAATAATTATCAGATGATTTTTACTATCTAATATCTACCTAAACGAAAAACTGTTTTACGCGAGAAAATAAATGCCATTATTTTAGTAAAAGTATTTAGATTTTTACCATAGGTAACCAATAAATTGTTTTCTGAGAAAAAAAAATATATTCTAGTAAAATACATTGCTTCTTTACTATATACTCACAGATTATAATAATAATTGTAGAATTGTATTTTATAATATACAATTACATTATGATTATCAGGTATCGTTTATCACCACGTATTAAAATATGCACGTGTTGCTAGACATACTAACGGAGATTAAAGTCTAAATATTAACAAACACTTTCCATGTCGGGTGAGGCTGGACTGGCTCATGGTGAGTCAGGTTCCTGGATAAATCAATATGCCCCTCCCCCCAAACATTTTAAAACAAAGAAAAATAATTTATTTAAAATCGTTTAATAATATTATTTTATATTTATGAGCTTTGATTTAACAATTGTTAATTATTGGGTGAAACATAGAAATTCGAATATTATAGAGATGGTATTACAATAAAATATATATCACATATGAATTTGAATACCTATTTTCTTTGAATACTGTAGACATAAAATATTTAATCAAGATAAAAACAGCTTTCTGGTACGCACATAAAAACAACGTGTTCAGAATATTATATAATATTTAGTACAAACACAAAGTCTTATTTGTTTAGTTAAAAAACAAAATTAATAAATTTAAATTTTTAATATTGTGCAATATCGCACACGTCTTTCTCCTAGAAATTCTTTAGTTTTAATTTAGTTTAAAATTAATAGTCTATCGCAGAGTCCCTAGCTTTATATTCGGTTAATTATACAGCATCTTAAAACTGATTAATTGAAAAATGTTTAACGACCGTTTGTACTGAGTTAGCATTTTTTATCGAAAGGATATTAAACTATACGTGTAGATAACTACCTGAAAAGGGTTTTAGAGAGATCATTTTTTTTATATTTTTGAGTGGTTTAAACAGGACAGTTGGTAAAACTTTAAAACAAAACGGTAATATTTACATTCCGATATTATGATAAATTAATAATTCATTTTTTTGTTAATAAAAAGTCAAAAGTCAAGTTGAAGTAGAATATAATTCTTTAGTCTAATTATAATACTATTAAAAAAAAAAAAACGGTTTTGTTCTATATTAAATATCCAAATATATTGAATCTATATAATCGATCTTTATAGATCGATATAATTTATATTATTAATAAATACGCAAAATATGGAAAATTTGAATATTAAACTTAAGTACATTAAATTTCAATATAAAATATACATAATTTTGTAATTTTATACAATATATGCATCGTAAGTTGTTCTTATTATTATAAAGATGAAAAAATCCTGTTTCCATAAGCGTATGAAGTTCAGACTTTAACGAATATTAAAAAATGCCAACATTTTCCATAATATATTTTTCGATTATTGTGTTTTGAATTTTTTAGTCCTTTAAAATAATAGTTAATAATTGATATAATTCTCAATTTAAATAAAATTATTAAAAACCTTTAGTCAAACTATTCCTTCTATAAACTTGCACTCCAAGTACAAGTTCTACTTTTTGGGAATGCTGTAATATTAATTTAGTTATAATAATTGTAAATTTATAAATGTATTAATACATTATATTTATTTTTTTGTTATGTTATTGTTGCAATAAAAAAAAAAAACAAAAAATTCCACTCAGAATCATTTTTAGTTTCCAATAAATTACTCAACCTTTCAACTATAACAGTGGTATGCCCGTTAAATGTATACATGTGTTTTCTTGTACTCTTAGTAACTACCAGCATATAGCACAATACTGGCTTATATGGAAAAACATACAAATTATGTATTGATAAAAAACAGAATTGGTAATATACATGTATAAAACGTTTTATACGATACACGTAGGTATAATATCCCACAGATAAAATTATAAGATATAAGGAACAATTATCACGGCTTGAAACAGTTATCAATTTTAACGTTTTATAAATAGTTTTTGAACAAAATTAGTCAGTTCCAGGTTAGTTTTTTTTTTTAATGTGTAATTAGTAATTACATTATTAGTTAGGACGCTATAATCCAGTTTTTATTTTTTATGAATTATTATTTATTATTATACTTGAATTGTTTATATTTTATGAAAGGGGTTTAGTCCCTAATTAAAACTTTCGAGAAATTAAAAATAACTGTTTTGCGCTTATAATTTTACTTGAAAAAATTATAAAAATCTAACCTAACCGTAGGTTTGGATTTTGATAATAATAGTTATTATAATAATATTTATGATATTATATTATAGAAATACAATTAATGTAATACAATTTGTTTCATTGTTGTCATCGGAAATTTAAGTTATAATATAAAGAAATATTAATTACATTTTAAATATGCCTACTTTTATGGAATAAAAGTAACAAACTATTCTTAAAACAATCAATTCTTTGTAAAACTGGTTGAAACATGTTAATTATACATTTATTTTAATTTTAATGGTTTTGGTTTTGAGAACGGTTTTTGAAATTATTCGGTTTCGGTTCTGGGTTATGACAACGATCATTGAAAAAGTTAGTACTCTTTTTCGGGTAGGGTGTTAAGAAATGACAAAACCACGGTTTTAACCGGCTTTTCATAAACCGGTTTCGAGCCCCGAAAATTATACATTTTTTATATTATTATTATAATAGTGATAATACTGTATATTTTAAATTTAATGATTAAATGTTTGTGGTCATCATATCTTATCAAATCAATATCAATTGTCAATATTATTGTACTTAATAATAATTGCTGTTCAACGCAGTGGTGTAAAAAAATCTTTCTTATAGTTTAAATTGTGTTTTTTACATTACTATATTATACGCATTCCAACCCTGATAAAAAAATTGATAGAATAATACTACCTAGTACAAAATTATTGACAATATTACATAATTGTTTCTATTTATTGTTAAAGTGAATCTATACTGAAATATTACCAGTTTGTGTGACTAAATCTCTTTATCGAGCACCTCAGGTCACTATTAATGTCGCTTTTCTACATATTTAAATAGTTATTAGGTAGTATAAAGACATCTGTAAAATTGGCACCACCATATGTGCTAAAAACTTTAAACGCTCTTCAATATTTTAAAAATTAAATGAATTTTCTAAAAAACATACTAAAAAAGAAGTTTTAGAATTGTTTTATTAGTTTTACTATAATGCGTGATTTTCTATTTTTTCTATTTGTGAACAACTTTTCTATCAGATATTTTACTCCAATCGAAATATAACAAGAGATCCTTTTTGTTGAACTTTGGATCTAATTGATCTAATTCACGTTTTAGTGAAAGATGTAATCTTTTGATTTTTCCAGTGATTTTTTATAACTACTGTAAAAAGCCCCCCCCAAAAAAATAAACAAATGTTTATGTTAATTACTTTTAATTATTTTCGATTTCTTGATATAAAATATTGAAACGGGTCATACCAGTGTTAAAAGATAAGTTAAACGTTAAATTTATTTTAATTTCTAACTGTTAGCTTTTAATGTTTAGTTTTGTATTAATTTAAACTATTTTTGTTTTAAATTTACTTAATACATTTTTAATTAAACTTCGTTGTTTGAAATTTGAATACAATACTGAATTTATCATTTTATTAGGTACTGTTGTATGATGCGAAGATACATTGTCCAACAATATTTGTGTTTAGTTATTATTTAGAAATAATAACACAAAATAGTGTCTAATTATATAAGAGTAATTTAAGAAGTAGGTTAAGTTTTTGATAATGTAAATAGATACGGATATAAATGGGTAAAAATTAAAACGAGTTGGAGAGTCTGAACGGTGACATCGTGTAGCTTACGTTCTTTGATCTTTTAGTTAAGTTGATTTTATGTTATTTTTTGTGTTAGAATTTATTTGCATTGATCATTAAATATTGTATAATATTTCTATGTATTGCATATAGAACAATATGTATATATGTATAGTTACAGTACAATATTATATTTTGTATTTTTTACCGAATTCGCATAACTTACCAACATATTTTATATATTACAGAATTTTATTTTTTTTTTTTTAAATACAACGTACGGGTATGATATATATATATAAACAAGATTATATGCCTTATGTGGAAATATGTTAAAAATATATTATACAGCGTTTTACGTCAAAATTATTGAAGTGAATGTCGCCGTCAATTCGTTTTATTATGAGACGTGATACATAATAAAACGACGTTCTGAATAATGAAAAAAAAAAGCAGCGACAAGTATACGAAGGAACTTTGTGTTCCGGTTACACATAAAACATATTGCATTGTGTGTCTAACGTTCCCCGGTGAAAAATAACCCTTTCATAATGTTAAAACAAATACGTTCGCAGTGGTGAAACTCTGTTATTATACTGTTGTGTTAACCTCCCGACAGTGTATTTTTTCGCCGCTATAATAAATTGTCGAAAGACCGTTTCGGTATACGGGGACGGGGTCGTTTTGTTATTTTACAAATTAGCTTTATAGGTATGCACAATATTACTATAATATTTGTTTTTCGAAAACAAAACAAAACACGTAAATTATTATATTATTATATTATTATTAGTTTAATATAATAATAATAATTCTAGTACCTACGATATTATAATATATATCTATAGGGTGGTTCTTTTATCGCGTTTCGGTGATATGAAGATTGATTGTAAAGTGAAGATTTCAAGTAAATTTGATCAGGACTTATTGTGGGTTTAAGTTAAAAAAAACCTCAATATTTGATAATAATGTTAGCAAAATACATTTACTTATAGTTTATACAATTTAGGTACATACGTATAAAATATACAATTAAAGTGTCTGTTTCCCCGGATTAATCTAAAATAAACGGCTTAACCGATTTCGATGGGATTTTTACTATAAACGGTATAAAGTATATTCTCATTGTACATAATTTAGGCTATTTCTATTCCAAAACTTAACTTCTTAAAAGTGATTAATACTTAAATTTTTGTTTTTTAATCTTAAAATACTAGATTATCTTAGTTTCATGGATAAAAAAACGGTTATTAATATTTAATTTGGTTTGTCACTGGTTAGAAAATCCTTTTTTTCAAAAGTGGTTCAATAAATAATATAGCTAATTTATTATCTTACAGTATTCGGGGACGGATAATCGGGATTCGGGATCACGAATTATTATTATTACTCTATCTTACATAATGTATAATAAATCAGGTTTTGTTTTTTTAAACCATACTTATAAAATATACTCAAGAGTAAATAAGTACCTTATAATGGAGAGCAATATAAAATTTATATTAAAATACGTATTTCGATAATAATGTAATGATTTGTCGTTTTTACAGATTTAAATATAATAACTATGTGCCTACCCTACTTTTCGTACAATAGTTGCACACCCATTAAAAGTATCAGCGTTTTTAAAACATTTGTTTGCATTTTTTCATGGGAAAAAAATGTTTTCACAACATTTTGATAAATAAGAAATCTGATCATGATTATTTATAGTAGAGGATATGGGAACAAAAATTGTATGAAACATGTTCTAATAACTTATCGTATACATTTCATTGAAATATTGCAGCCATTGTCTGATTGTAAGTCATTAGATTTTAGGACGTCAGGATATTTGTAGGTCTAATATTCGAACTTGTAATCTATAATATGTATATATACCGCTAGTCCTTTCGTCGGCAAGAAAAATATGTCCCGGTCATTTCAGTGTCAGTCTTGTCCGCGAGTGATGATTGAATGGGGAGGGAAAATAATCTCCAATACCGTGAGAAACGGTAGTACAATGTTAACACTTGTATATTTTTGCAAAATCGATCTGTCCGCGTTATTATTACAATATACACCGAATCCTGCAAACGTAAATTTGAATGAATGCATCCGTAAAATGATTTTATACCAAATCCACGATCGCTTCGTACGTTTCCCCATTACCTCGCCACCCCTCAGGCTCTTTTCACATTATACGGCTTTGACCGTACGGTAAAAACTGGATGGCAGAAATCCCAAATCGTATAATGTGAAAACATGCGTTTAGTTATGTACGCCACTAAGCTTATCACGCCATACGGATGCCGTACACCGTAGTGTAGTAAACGGCTGTTACACGGCACGGCGCCGTCATTTTTCCGTAATTGTGTATAATGCGAAGGAGTATAATATGCTTTTCTTCACTTCACTAAAATAAAATCACCGACCTGTTTTTTGCCGTATGGTCAAAACCGTATAATGTAAAAAGATCCATAGTCTAGCAAACATTTAGATAATAGAAGAATATAGATAGTACATCAAGTATATTTTTTGAGAATAAAGCGATAATTTTTTTGATATTGTATTTATATTGATATTATATATATATATATATATATATATATATATATGTTTTTTGTTTTTTTTATATAAAAAAAAAAAAAAAAACGTGTTTATCTTAAATTATAGTACTTGTAGAATACAGATTATAGGACTATTTGCACTTATCTTCAAAATTTATCGAGCTATAGTGATGCGAATGCGGTTTATAAAAACAGAATTCAAAAATTAAATTTCCTTTGAACGTACACTGAAGAACGGTACGAATCAAGATGTAGTTAAGTAGTACTTAATAATATAATAATGAGATTTGTTGTACTATAACCTTAAAAATGGCTTCTATCTTAATTGAGGAATATTGATGTTGTCTCGTCACAAAAAAAAGCGCGTGACTATTTATGAAGTCGGTATACATATGGTCTGTCCATTATTATTAGATTCTCAGTGAAGCGAGCAGTGTATTGGTTTTACAATGATATTTAATTTTTTTTTTTATCTGTGAATATTTTTTTACCAGAAATCTTGCTTCGATTTTTAAGTGTAGCATATTTTCTAAATAAAAATCGGTGTGGGGAGTTACTTCAGGGTAGTCATTTTATTGATTTTCCTAAGAGTTTTTCCAATAAATGGGAAAACCGGGAAAAACGTAGGAAAAACCGGAAAACAAATACAATATTAAATAAATATTATATAAGAAAATATATAATTATATGTAACTATTTTACCATATTATGACATATATATTGTTGGTTCACGCTGATTCGCCTTATGCCCAGCTACCTCTTAGTAATTCCAGTCCGAAATTTTTTTTATTTTTCTTACTAATAAACTGTTGATCATGCAAGTACTGGTATTTATTCGGACTGGCGATTACGACACTTCCGATTGACACATACAACAGAGTATGACAAACAGGTCACCTGTAATATTGAACCCGCGCAGATAAGTTGTATTATATTCGTTGTGTTTTGCGGCGGAAGATACTAATAATAAAAAATCTATACTGTAATATTACATCTATCTCTAATGTTATTAAAGACCATAACTGAACACTATAAATAGTTAGATAATTAGAACTGAGCTGAAAATTTAATATTTTTGTTAACAATTTTAAATTTCAGTTAAATAAATACAGTTGTACAAATTTTGAATTACTTAATATTTAGTTATATTTTTTTTGTAACATTTTAAATCTTGTTGGTACATTAAGTAGGTTATTTTTGAATTTTTAGTGTAGTTTCCTTAATTAATGGAAAAAACGGGAAACAATGTTTTAATAACTAAGAGAAAAAAATACTACTAATAATATTCTACTCAGGACCGTTTTTCGTTAGAAATGGTTTGTAATTCCCTACAGATATAATTTAAATTATGCACTTAACATATTCTTGCTTCCAACTTCCCTCTTAAAATAGTGGCTCAGTTTTAGCATCTTTTTTTTTAATAACTATCTTAACTTTAATATTAAAACTAAAGAAATGTAGATCAACTCTCCCAGGTTATTTCTTTTTCATCGCCCTGAGTCCCTTATGCTGTTGTTGAACTCTTGACGCCAAACCTTAGGGTACCTTCAAGTCGTTCGCTACGTTAACGACGACCGATTTGTAAGCCATGCCATGTTCGCGTCTGTTTTAATGGATAACGTCGGTCGATTTGGTTACACGCCACGAGACCGCCTTTACAAATTAGTGCGCATTAGTATAATATTTAAGCGTGAAACCATTGTTTTACCTAAACTTGACCAGCCGCGTTCGACGCGTTAATCATTCCTCCTCCATAGGCACGTATAAAATATCTAGTCGATATTTTACCGCTCTCGTCAGTTTCGTCTGTATGTGGTATACAGTGAATGTGTGCCATGATATGCCGTGGTATACAACCCTGAAAAAATATTCTACTCGTAAACATATAGTATAAGTAATAAGTATAGTAATAAAAGTAAAGCCAAAATGATTCAAAATCGTAACAAAACCGTACTGTCGTTTCTTAGTGATATACTATAGTCATTTTAGATAGCTGGTTGTCAAATTACAGCACGCGAAAATAAATAATATGCATATAGTTAATGCATAACATTTTAATTTGCATATTTTAGCATTTTTCTGCATTTCTAGGGCATAACTTAGGACTTTGTACATTTTCAGTGTTTATTTAAGAACTTATTATAGTCTACAGCTCTGTATTAAATTACATTTAAAATAATTCGTGTTCATCGAGTTCGATAGTAGTTTTGTTGTCACTATCAAACGTCCAAATATACCTCGTAATAGGTGGTCAAAAAAAAAAAAAAAAACTATCCGTAAACAATTTATACGGCTGTTGAGTCCGAGATAATTTCAAATTCAGCTATAGGAATTTCACAAACGACATTCTCGCTCCGATTTTTCGTCTTAGAAATAATATTTATGAATTTTTAATATGCTAATTCTTCGGACACCCAAAACATTTTTTGTGCCTATCCGGCCGTATTGAGTCAAACACGGGAAAAAATGTATCTGGTGTAATAAAAAACTCCTGAATTATATGTCCACCGAGGACATATCTCGGACTAGTCATCCAAAATAGTTATTAATTAAATATCCATAAATAATAATAAATATGTGTTACATAAATAATACAATTTAAGTGGTATAATATCTTTTAACACTTTATATAACTATACAGCGAACTGGATCCACAATTTATAATAGCATACGAGCCACACCTGCTAAAAGTACTGGGTAGGGGTGGTTCTTGACAAGACATAATCCATTTTCATCCATTTATGTAGATAAATGCAAACATATTCACGGAAAACGGGGTTAGGGTGATCCATCCGTTACCTCTTCCTATAAAAACACTATTGAGTACTAGGTACTTGATATTATATCGTCGCTTGATGCAGCAGTGCATATCTCAGTTTTGGTAGTTTTATGGGATAATCAATAAATATTTTTAAAATAATCTATTATTATATCTTTTTCCATGTATAATATGCTAGTAAATAATAACACATGCATATGTTCCTAAGGGCATTGTTTTCCTGAGCATTATAGATGAAAAATACAAAAACCATGCAAATAAGTGCAATAGTGACTTCCATTATCGCACTTATCTATATCATTGTTGTAATTCAAAAATATGGCGGGGGAGCCTAATTATATAAAATTGATTCACACGTA